AGATAATGGAAGGAATAAATGGTAAGATAAATAGGTAAAATAAATGGTAAGAATAATAAATGGTAAGATGAAGAAAGCAGTGATAAGGCATAAGAAATGATAAATGGTAAGGTGAAAATATGTTCAATAATAAGTGAAAATCACAAATGACTAGATAAAGTCTTCAAAAATAAGGGATAAGAAAAGATGATAAATAATTGGATAAGCGATAATTGTTTGTGATAAAAGATGAAATTCAATTTATGAATTTCAGGAATAGGATACTGTGTAATAATGATAGCATTTTATACGGATTTTTTTTATAACGTAATTATTGCCTGGTCATTGCATTTCTTTCTGAAATCATTCACGACCCATTTACCATGGGCATCATGTGATCATGAATACAACAGTATCGTATGCTATGAGCCAAGGTTAATTCAATCATTTCTATATTATATTAAGAGCATTATTGAGAAATTTTCAATTTTACAACTAATTTTTACACATTGTATTATTTTTTTGCATATTATTTTACTAATTAAATAATCATCTCATTTGCAATTTAAAAAAAAAAAGTCGGAGTAATTTTTGTTATGCAAAGTATTGTTATGTTTTATGACACAGTTCTCTGATCTTACAGCTGGAATGATGGCAAAGATAGCGAATGTGCTCAGCCATTAAATAAGTCTGATATAGGTGTTATCTCTGCTGCCGAGGAATATTTCTAGTAAATTGTTTCTTGATTTATAAAGACAAAATTTTTTTGAATTCAAAAGAACGAAGTCTTCCCAAATTATCGCTGCTATTATTATGATTATCATTCCCGTCATCCCCTCATTAGATTAATCGTCACACTCGTTAATGCCATCATTTTTTTTTAACACTAATAAGTTTGACAATTATTAACGCGATCACAATCCATTTAGCATAATTACTCATTAACGCAGCTGTCCTTAGCATTCCAAACATAGCTGACATCTATTTTATCATTAGAGCTTTCACTAGTATACTTTATCAGCCATCATCAGTAAACCTACGAATAATGTGTAACTCTGCTTGCAGTAAGGAATTTCTTGGCTTGCATATGCCTGGTGCAGCAAATTCATCAGTAGCACATTCATTAAGCAATCTTGGTCCACTTAATTGGGAAATGGCATTTTGTCTATTACTTGTCTATATCATTTGCTACTTTTCTCTTTGGAAAGGTATCAAAACGAGTGGGAAGGTTTGTTTCAAATTTTAATAAAATTTTAAAAAAATTTGAAGAGTTATATGTATGTTGCAGTACTACAAGATGATTTGAACTAATTAATTTATGATAAATGATAATTACCGAAATTATTAAAATGCCATCAGAAAATTGTTTTAGTTCCCATTTAAACGTAATGCAATGTAATCAAAACAAAAAAGCGTACTTAAAAATTTTTTCCATTCACTTAATCTCTTCGTTTCTTCGTTCATTTTTAATCACAACGCTGTAATGGTGAAAGATTACGTTTTTTTTGTGGAAATATCGACTAATTATTATTATTATTGCCAATTTAATTTATAGAATTTAAAGTAACTCCTCCTTTT